TAGGAACTTGTCGTAGAAGAACGAAACAGTTACAATAAATTGTCTTTGGGTAGGATAACATTCACTGAAAATATGAAAAGGTTTGGTGGAATTCTTTTAGCAGTAGAGCTTTATACTTTTGACCAATTTTTAGGTGTTTTTTGATCATTTTTTTAAAAAAACAAGGGGGGTGGTCAACTCCTCCCGGTTTCGACCAAATTTCCTTAAACTTAGAGTGAAGTAGTTTTGGGCGGACCCCTTCAAAGTGGCCAAGTTTCATCGAAATCGGTTAGATCGCTTGTGCCGCCCCTGCCTGGTCCTTTCGTGGATGCACTCTTAATGCTAGTTTATGTTCTACCCGATAGCGTAAAAGCTTTAACCTAATAACTTGTAATAACTCTCTGCAGCACGGGAAGCTTCAACACACATAACTAAAGCACTAAGTTCTCATACGTAGTCAATAAAAGTCGCCATATAGAAGTACCAGTAATGCTCTTCCAGCGGTAGGAAATGCAAAGTCTTCGGTCATCATAGAGCTGGGAGACTGTGATGATAGTGATGAGTATCTGTACGAAAATGCTTTTTGGGATGAGGGCTAATTTGTTATAAACTCAGTTTAAGAATATGCAAAACTTCAGAACGTGTTTGGATAGACTAGCTCGATTTTTATCTGCAACGGTTTAACCTTAAGTAATTATATTCTGCAGAATACCATGAGCATGACATAATTAGGGTTTGGCGGCTTTAGAATAAATTGAGTCCGTGTAAAGCCAGTTCGTTTGAGCTTGTGTGAGTGCTTTTGAGAGGAGCAGATGTCAAGCCTATGAGCCAGAGGAAGATGAAATATCTCTTTATCCTGATGATTCACTTTCGGATGAGGAGGATGAACCTGACGTAAATAACCAGAAAAAGTGCGAGGGGAAAGTTTCTTCACAGTGATGAATGACGTGGGTTTCCCTCCCATTTCTGATAGCGACTATTTTTTGTTTGTTTCGAAGATCAAACAGAATTAGATACCCTGTAAGAAGACATCCTAAAGAGGGGAAAAACGATGAAGAGAAGACAAAAGCTGACAGGGAGAAAATGTGCAGCAGCGACGACAACAAGCCACGATGGTCAGAAATGGGTGTTTTTCCTCCCACATCGCTCATTAGAGACACACAGATGATTATGAAATATTCCGAATGAGACGAAACTTGGCAGGAACATAGTAAAAGAAAGTCCACATGTATTGATGGTAGTTTTATACTTTTGATTGACAGCATGACGTCATAAGTGACGTTGAAACATGGCATTAAAATTTGGAATTAATTATTTGACCTAAATAACTTTATAAATAAAATCTATAAAAAAACGGAGCTTTCTGGTGAAGACCCCACTTAAATCCGTTAAATTGTTGCAAAGCTAGAGCTAATTAAAGAAATTCAAATTTCCCGCCAAATGTATGGAATTAACCATATATGGTCAAACTTTAGGGGTATTTAAACTCCAGCTTATTAAACTAAACAGTAAGGAAACTAAGCGAACCATGCATAAAAGCAAATTTGTTATTTTTGAATTTGGGACATGGGGTGTCAGGTTGCATGTTACGTCATTTCATAACATGTTGACGTCATATTTACGTGTTGATGACGCCACAAGTGAAAATACCTATAGAGTCCCAAATTCAAAAAACTACAAATTTTCTCCAGTGTGTTATCCGCTACTTTTCTTTTAACTTCCATTTATTGTCTTGAACTGGAAACCTCCCTAAAGTTTTACCATATAAGGTAATAAAACAAGTAAATTCTTTAAATTCCTTCTTTTATTGTCAGTCACAAAATAGCTTGTAACTTTGTCCCGTTTAATGGATTTTAACGGTGTTTTCACTGGAAAGCTTCACTCTGATCACAGAACACCTCTATGTGGCTTTTCTGACGATTTTCTTAATTCTAAATTTTGGCACCAAATTTGGAAGCTATTTGTGACGTCACAATGTCCATCAAGAATGTCAAACTGCCACCCAAAAATGTAGAATCTCTCAAGCAACAATCCTGCCATGTTTCATGCCATTTGGAAAATTCTTCACGTCTCTGTGATCTATGTGGGAGGAAAAACACCTATTTCTGACCATCGTGAGCTATGTTCACTGGTCTCATGAATCAAGTGCAAGAACAGAAACAGCTACGGCAACAGAACTTACAAGTAATGCTTGCACAACAAAATAAGGTGTTTATAGCTTTGCTGGAAAATAGCAAAAAGCAATGAGCTCACAATTTAAGCTCTTGTTGAGTTGGTATTTCTCCTATGTAGCAAAGAGATTAGTCTATCGCAATCTCTTGATATTCCTTATCCTTGATATGTGTAATGCTTGAAACAAAGCATTGGTAATGTTTGTCAAAAGATCTTTTTTTTCCATTTAGAACAAAAACCTTACCAATTAATTCAAGAGGTAGACAAATATTCAGTCCAAGGAATGCTGCTGTAAATATTTAAAAGGCTGTGTTTTAAAACTCTTTTATAAGAGGTACTTTCACTAATTCAGAGAAACTTGATAAGTAAATGAGTGTTTTTTTGTACGAGTGTTTTTTTTTGGTTGAGTGGTTTTTGTATATTATTGTATACTTAACAATATTTTAAGTATAAATTGAAATTTAGAAAACCTACAAACTCATGTTTTGGATGAACGTAATTTCCAGTTCAATATTATGGAGTCACTGAAACTAAAACTACCAGTTTAAATCCTGCTTGCCGCCCTACAGTTCAAGGCTATAAATCTGAATACGTTCCCACATCTCTTGCCTCTGGAGGTGTTGGAATGTTTATTGATGAAACATTGAATTATAAAGTCATAGCAAAAACCTCTAATGAAGCATTTCGAGCGCTATGGATTGAAATATTGTTTGTTTAGAATTAAGATGTTATATGCCGTGTCATTAACAGACAACACAATTCTCCAGACCGTTTTCAAAGTTATTTTGAAGAAACTATAGAGAAACGTACTTGAACAGGAAAACAACTTTCTATTTTAGGAGATTTTAACATTGATCTATCATCTCATTCCAACTATTGATAAACCAGCACGTGTTCGCAATAACTCAGCCACTCTTATCGTTAATATTTTTGTTAACAACCCTGAACAAGGCAAAATTAGTGGAACCAACAGGAGGGCATTTTGTATGCGCAAGCGTCAATATGGGCTGTTGAAGTGCCACAGAGGCATTTTCTGTGAATTGTTTACGTTCATTACCAGCATTTGCAGGCTGTTTTCTGGAGCTGAATGACGTGTACTTGGTGCTACGTTCCGCAAACATGTTCGTTAAGGTATCGTTTTATTTGTTCGATGAAAGTGAATTTATTGTAGCCTCGCTGTCGCCCTTGAGAGGACAGTCTTTCCTTTCGTAAAACAGTACATCGAAGACAAGATGGCGGCTGAATGTTCTTTCCACCTAACATTTCGAGCACATTTTTTGAGCAGGAGGAAAAGGTCAGTATGATAGTCTTTTGTTAAACAATTATGCTATAGATACTTAATTCTTCTTAATAGTATAACTCTAAAATCGAACTTAACCGTTTGAGGAATAAAGTGGTTAATTAAGTGTCCATTCTGCCGTGAAACTGTTTTCACCCTTTCTATAGGCTTGTTTATCTCGAAATCTTGCCTTTCTCCCCAGATGAAGTTAATGATTAATGAAACTAAGAATACTTCCGCGAATGAATGACGCTTTGATGAAGGCTGTGAAAAATCGCCTTCTACAGTAATTTTAGCTTTCTTCTCCGGTACGTCTTCTTTGAGAAATAAAATACACGCACTTCAGCTATAAATTTAAATCAATATAATGATGCCAGTAAGATTGTGTTTTGAAAATAAGAATATTCTATCATTAAGTGATACAAAGGAAAAAAATTGCAGCAATCGGTTTGAATTCTGATTTTTTCCACCTTATGTTGATGGTACACTGTTTGTTTACATTTTATTATGCAAATAAATATAACATTTTGGCGCTTTAAAGAAAATCTAGCCTAACTCCCCAACCCCAAAATAGCACGAAATAAAACGTTATCAATACATCTTTTAAATAAATCCTCGTTTCTGTTGCAAAAAAATCGCATTTATTCCTAAATGATACCATCTTGTGGATACTACATTTCTTGATATGCTAATTTGTGAGACATTCCATTCACGATGATGGTGACTGAGACCAGCTTCTCCTCTGTATTGAACCACATTCTTGTTTTATGCATCAGTTTCTGCTTGATAATTCTTCCATGATCTACAACTTACATAAGGGTTCATCTGGATACAGTAAAAAGCTCTCAACAGAAACATTAATAACACACAAATTCATCCATCCATTTGTGTCATGTTTGTTGTCGCATCCCAGCTCATTTGAGTCCTTTAGCAGAAGTATTTATTTTTTGAGGAAACTGCATTATATGCACCCCTTTAACAAACTTCCTGTCTTATGTTTAACAGACTTTGAAGGTGAACAACATCGTCAGTTAGATTTATGGACTGATGGTCATTCTCTATTTTGAATGGATAACTACTGTCATCAAAAGTAAATTAATAACAAGAAATCGATTGTGGAACACAGGAGCTGTTACTCAAGATCCGCTTCAAAATAGTAGCTTAGGAAAAATCTCTGTGTCTTTTAGAGTGAAAGAAAAATAAAAGTACTGTTCGTTTTTTCGGAGTATGTGCATTCCTTTTGTCTGCAACTGAGCTTATGAAATGCTCAAGTGATTATGTACTACATAATCACTTGTAATTGTTGCTGTCTCAAACTCAATCCATTCTTTATTTCCTATAGAATATTTTTTAAAAATTTTTCCGCGAAAACTTTCGGAAAACTGTAAACACCCCATAGATTTCATGTTTTTGTGACATATATAAACGCGTGTCTCCGCGATCAGTTTGACATGAGACATTGCGCTAATAAACTGAAACCTAACGTGGTAATTGTTTTTTTTCGCTCTTTGTCTTAAAGCAGCTGAACATTACTACGATGCATTTCCTCCCTGATAAGTAAAACCACGAGTTTTGAAATCAAACCTTAGAAATGCATTGCTTTGCCAGTGAAAATCAGACTTATACAGAAACATGACTTTTTGGCGTTGTCTTGAAAGTCTTTAAAAGGCCAAGAAAACCTACTGCTGAAAATTTGCGAGTGAAAACCCGCGTAGAAAACGTCCGATTTTTGTCATGGAGAATATTTTTGGTAGGAAAGTACGGTATTCAAAGCACCAAAGAAAAGGCTTTTAAAAGGACTTTAACTTTACGCGCGAGTTTTCGATTTCCCGCCATCAGATTTGATGCGTCCACGATATTGTCGTTCAGCGGATTCACGCATGCGCATGCAAAATGCCCTCCTGTTAGTGGAACCTTGATATCTGACACAAGCGACCATTTCTCCCAGTTTTGCATTGTTAAGTCAGCCGGGGAAAAACCTAAAGGGATTTATAAAACTAAAGTAAGCGATTACTCGCGGTTTTCAGCGGATAGTTTTGATGACGAACTTTCCCAGACTGAATGGGGTAACATTCTTTTTAACGCAACTGGTGATATTGATAAGACGTTCTCCATGAAAACTCTTTTGCACCACAAGGGAAAACAATTCTCAAACCCTAATTCTAAACTCTTAGAAAAACAACCTCCTCTGTTTTTTCGTGAAATTTATGGAACTGTGTATGGGTCACCCTGATGTCTTTAGAAGTGAATTCATTATTTGGAACAACAAGGAAATCACGATAGAAAATAAATCTATATTTTGGGCACATCTTTTTGGTCCTTTTTGTTTAAGACTTTTTAGACGAAAACGGGAAATTCTTGTCCCTTGATGATTTACAAGTTAAATATAACGTTCACTTGAAATTTTTTCAATATTTTCAACTTATTGCTGCGATTCCAAGTTGCTTGAAGAAAAGAGCTCAAAAAAATTGGCCGTAACGAAAAGAGACCTAATTAAGGAACAAGAGGTTTTTTTACTTTTCCGACAATAGACAACTCTCCTTGACTAAACTGAGATGTAAGGACAATATTGCTGAATAATTTTAATTTTATTTTTAATGATGCACTAGTGAGCAGCACACGTACACTTCCAGTGAAAATTCTCACTTGGAAGAAGGAGAAACCATGCTCGCCCGGGGCACAAAAAATTTTCGTTGCCCCGGGAGAGCATGGTTTCTCCTTCTTCCAAGTGAAAATTTTCGCTGGAAGTGTACGTGTGCTGCTCACTAGTGCATCATTAAAATTAAAATTAGAATTTAAAAAAAATTCGTTGCCCCGGGCGAGCATGGTTTCTCCTTTTTCCAAGTAAAAATTTCCCTGGGAAGTGTACGTCTGCTGCTCACTAGTGCATCATTAAAATTAAATTTAAAAAAAAAAATTCGTTGCCCCGGGCGAACATTGTTTCTCCTTCTTCCACGTGAAAATTTTCACTGGAAGTGTACGTGTGCTGCTCAGCTGCTAACTAGTGCATCATTAAAATTAACTTACTGAAAACTAGAAGAACCCACACGAGAAACTAGTATTTGGAGGGTCGCGAGTTTTAATTTTTTAATGTCTTTGTTTTTGTGTTGTGTCAGGGCTCCATTTAAACTAGCTCTGCTAAATTGGATGCCCCTGGATAAATATTGAATTAAAAAAAAAACGAAATTAAAAATAATGGATTATTCAACAATGTTAACTTCGCCTTGGGTGAATAATTGATAAATGTAAATTGATATGTTGATGTAAGTAACTTCCATTTATTTTTTTGGTTCTCTTTCCCTTTTAGTGTGTTTCTTTATTTTTCTATTTTAATGTCATTATTGCAACTAATAAAAAAAACCTCTCAAACCCTAGGAAAACTAAAAGAATTAGGACTCAATTAAGATTAAAAACAGGTTATATTTATCTGGCGATGAAGCTAAATATAAGTTCTATAAAAATAAACTCTGCAGCTTAACACTGAGCAAGAAAAGTTCTTTGAGTCCTTCAACGAAAATTTTAAGAATATGAAAAAGACCCGGAAACAAATAATCAATTTGTTAATTGTAAAAACAAAAAGTCTAAATCAAATAACTCACTTAAGAATTACAAAAACAATGACAAAGTAACCCATGACCTGACACGTATACCTAATATTCTCAATGACCACTTCGCAATAGTAGGACAAAGATTAGCAAGTCGCATACACTCAGTACAGAATTGTTTGGCAATAAAATAACTCTACGGTTCAAGATTGTGATTCAGAGGATAGCTCAGATGACAAGGATGAACTTGT